AGGACAAAACCCAGCCCAGGTGAAAAAATGTGAAAGCTTAATTTAATTTCCTAAACTAAATATCTAAAACTTTAGTTAAGCTCTTTTTCAATCTTCTTTTTACTACCTTTAAGAATGATACTACAGGTGATTATATAATGAGAAGGAAGGGTATTTTTGGTGAATATTCACTAGCTGATGGAATTTAGCTCTCCAGTGTTGTCTGTTTAGTCTTAAGTAAAGAAAACTCACATTTTAAATATATGTATGTTTTTATTACTGCAGGTGTGTAACAGTGCTTTTTCCCTAGGTAATGCAAATCTGCAATAATAGCAAATAGACTTTGGAAGGTAACTGATAAAATCAAAACTATCTGTTCTTACAATCCCCGTCTGTACATGTCAGAGCTTACCTCTTGCTGCCCATGACTACAACAGTTCTAAAGTCATCGTTATTATTTACTAAAATGTAAAGAAAGAGGGAAACTAAGGAGACATATTATGTAATTTTAATAGATTACTCCTTTTTTTTTTTTTTTTAAATGGGTGCCTAAGGACAGTCTATAATGTGCAATGCACTCCATCTCACAAAAGTAAAAATAATGAAAAGATAACATGAGCTGTCATTTTAATCTACTAAAATATTCCTAACCCAGTTACTTAAGCTATTTTATTTAAAGATTTGAATGTCACTTTTTATTTATTTACTTTTTTTTTTCAAATCAGATGCACAGTCTGGAGCAGTGAAGTAGAGGAAGACTACCTCCTTGTCTAGAGGTGGACTACTACCACTGCCACCTACCACTACATTGCAATGCGAGCTATGAGCAGTTTCAGCCTGGTAAGTTTCAATTAATATTTTAACTGATAACAGTTTTTCCATTTCTGGTCTCATTTAAATTTACAATAACATCTCAGCTGCTGTTGTTTTCTATTTTTGATGTTGTATTTTTGTGTTAATCTTCCTAAAAAACTGCCTTCTATGTTAACAAAAGGCAAATGTTCTTTCTGAGCTTTTGTCACATGAGATGTTTGAGACGCAGTTTTGTCATGAATCAAAGTATTTTTAGTTCCCAGTCAATGCAGTTATCGTATGAAATGTTTTTCTACTCCTTCAAATATATTCATAGTACACTCAAATGCTCGCCATTCTTGTCAGGGCTGGAAGTTGAAATGTCGGAAATTTTATTAGCTGAAGGTTCTGCAGAAAAAAAATATAATTTGCTGTTTTATTGCAATGATTTTTTTTAACTCTAAAAAACATGTTTTGAATTTTAAAAATACTATTCTAAATGTTCAAAATATGTATTTTTAAAGTGTAGAAGCATTTACTTAACCCAGCCTCATTCTGAAAAATGTTTGCTTCAGGTGAGCTTTTATTTTGTGAAAGACCTAGCTGTGGTTTTTTTTTTTTTTTTCCGCCCCTCTAAAAAAAAGGATGGTGCATTTGAAGCAGTGCTATCTCTCTTTGGAGGAAAACTAGTTAGAAGCAGCGATGGATGATAGTCTCTTAAGCCCCAGCAGGAAGTGGAACTAGCTCTGCTACTACTGTTTACATGCTAGCATATCAGAGACACACACAAACTTCAGCTGGTAAAGTGCAGCACTAGGAAGCTGTAAGATCGTACTGGAAGTTCAAGAAGAATTCAGATAGCCTCAGAATTTACTGAAGTAACAGTTTCAAATTTATACAGATTTGACAAAATCGATATCAGAAGCCTGGCACAATGTAAAGGATTCCTTATGGCCTAAGAAGGGAATATATCAGCAAAGAAATACATAGTAAAGTGCTGTAGATTTCCTTCAAGACTTGATCTTCTGTTTTGTATGCATGTGTGCATATACATATGTACATATGTATACTTAACTTCTGCTGATAAATGGATGATCTGTGTCCTGCATTTAAAGGAAATGAGATAGTTTTCTGGGTTTGACTATTCTGGTGTCCCCTCTGTAGTGCTTCACCATTGCATTGACTTTAAAAGTATATCAGATAATAATGATGAAGAGAGAAAAAAACCCCTCAAAAAGTGGTAAAATTAGTCATCTCTGCTCTGTGATCACTGCTTACTGGAACAGAGTGATCAAAAATATTATGTTAACAGTAGAGAAACACAAAAAATATGGCTTTATCTCTCCAGGAGGAGATTTCTTTTCGTCTAATATGAACTTACTTGGACTATTTGAGCTCTCCAAGCTCATTTGGTAAGTCCACTGAGTTGCCAGGTTAGAGATTATATCAGTTGTTCTCACTCAGACTTACCTCCTGTCCTCATAAAGCCAGTCACTGTCACTACATTTTCAAAGCAGCTTGAATATTTTTCATCTGGGTCCCCAAAATCCCCCCTGCACTGCTAACAGGTATGTACATTTTATTTCCTTATAATTCATTCTAATAATTAGCACATATTCAGTCCTTTAACATGTTTTGGGAAAGTACCATGGGCTACTGCAAAATCTTTACTTGCTTGGATGCATTTCCCTTGCTATGTTTTTGGAGGTTTAGAAATGCAAAAAGACTGCTTTTTGCTCCAGAGCCTAGACTTGCCCTGCGATTTAATGCAAGCTCTTGCCTAACATCACCACTTCTCAGTCATATTTCAGACATGGTGAAAGCAGGGTGTTTCCTCTTCACTGTGTTTGAACTGTCTTCGCTATTGTTACCTGTCCAGTCCTCCCTCAAGCGTCTTACTGTCCAGAAATGAAAATACAGCTCAGATGTTATCCTTAGAGAAGGAGGAAATACTAGTAAACCTGTTACTCAGAAGAAACCATTCAGCATGATTCTTATTTATGTGCCTACGTCAATGCAGGGTACTTCCAGAAGCCTCAGGAAGGTATCTTTCAGCATTATTTGGAAGACAGTTTTAAATATTTTCATCTTCAATTGTGTTAGCCTTCTGAAAACTTTGGATCATGTGCAGTTAGAGAAAATGAGTGCAGCATTCGATGGGCAGCATTTATGCTTGGCAAAACTGGCCCAGTAGCTACTTTTGCTTTCACAGTAGGAAGTTAAAGAACTAGGAGAATTCTGTCAGTCTTGTTTCGTGGAGCTGAATGCTAGACGTGAAAACTCTGAATAGGTGTCTTCTTTAGAAAACAAGATAAAAAAGAACAAATAAACAATCTCTTTCATACTATAATTCATCTTAGAAGCGATAGAGAATAAAAATAACATTGCAATGCAATTTGGTCTGGGGAATAAGAAGTTGATAGTACTACAGCAGTTTCTGCTTCATTGGCTTTCTGCAAGTGGCTCTTTTGATTCCAAAATGCTCTTAAGGTCTCTTTAACAACGGATGTGCAGTGTGTCCTTATAATGGCACAAAATGGCTTTACACCATCATATCTTGTCTTTAAAGCAAGTGATTGTGTTGCTGTGTTTAGAAAGTTTCTTTCTTTAGAAAAAAACTGATGGAGGTACACATACTGTGTGACTTGAATGCTACCACAACCTCTACCTGCCTTCTTAAATCAGACTAATTCTGAATTATCAGTGGTCATTTATATTTTGATGTTAAAATCTATATTCCTTTCGGTAAAGGTGAATATGTTCCTTCCATTTCATGTTTTCATTTTAATTCCCTTCCTCTCGTTTTTTTTTGGAGTTCACTCTATACGTAGGGCCACACAGTTCATGGTATGGTGCCTGTGGCTACACAAGAAAGAGATGGAACTAAGATACCAAACTTATTTTTCCCTTTATGTTATTATGTTATTGCATGACAGCAACTGCTTTTTTTTTCTCTCCCTGTGCAGAAATTAGTACTGGTTTAATGTAACTTGTAAAAACTCCCATGGGGAAATACTTATTTCAGCTTTTAAATTATATTTCCTAAATCTTTTTTTTTTTAAAGCTGGTGGCTGATTAGTTTAAACAGCTCCCAGCTTTGATCAAGGTAAGAGTTTTCTCACTGTCTTATCAATCAATTTAGCAAGGTACAACTCTGCCTGTGGGTAAGCTTTAGATTGACTTAGGAATAGTTTTTCAAAGCTGTTTGAGATGCATCTTTTGTTAGATGACACAGTTACAGCTTCACTCCATATATCTTTTAATCCTCCATTCTTCCAACCTGGTCAATATTAAGGAAAACAATTTGAGTATATTGTAGGCCAATTATTCCGTCAAAAACTTACATATTTGAAGTAACAACCCTTTATTTTTAAGCCACTTTACACCATAGCTATATGTTGCATTTGTGTCAGTGTTCTGGTTCTGGCAAAAAGGTAAGTCATGAGTTTTTCAGATAAGTATTCTTTCTTCTACTATCAGTAAGCCTACTTTATTTTTTTAATGGACCCAGCAGCAAAGTGGAAAAGATGTATCGCTGGAAGTTCTTCACTAGAATTTCAGAAAAAAAAAAGTTTTGTTTTGTTTTAAACTTGCTTGAAAAACAGTCAGTGATTCTTACATAATTGATGACTTCTTTTCCCATTGAGGGCATATATGCATATATTGTCAGCTATCCTCTCTGTTTACTGGAATTTTGCCACTTAGGTATTATTTTCTTTTTACTGTGTTTATTTTGTCAAAGACTTGTGAAACTAACAGCATTATTTCTGAGTTGAGTCTACGTGCAAATGGATACAATTCACACATGAGGATGGGCAATTTCAGTCCTCCTCTTCCATTAGATTATATGCTCTTGGCTCAGCCTGCAGGAGGCGATTTAGCCCTTTCCCACCATTGCTTACAGTCATATCACACAGTTCTTGATTTTTCACTGCTACTGAGCTTACTAGTCTTTTATCCACATACAACAGAATATCAGGTATGAACACCATCTTCAGAACAGGGATATTTTAATTCTTATTATTTTTATTTTTGTATCTAAGGCAATGCCACGGTAGTGAGTTCAGTGCTTCCCTGCTATTTGGCACTGATGATGTCACACCTGAAATGCAGTGCCCAGGATTGGGCTTCCTGATATAGGGCAGTCATGGATGTACTGTGGCCCCAGTGTGGTGTCACTGACATGGTAGAGCCAGGGTGCAGGGAATACAAGGAGAAGCTGAGGAAGAGAGGGTGAAGGGAACCTTGTTGTCTGTAAATATCTGAAAATACAGGGAAGGTATTTTCAGAGAAGACAGCCCCAGACTCTTCTCAGAGATGTATAACAGTAGGATGTGGCACAAACTGGATCATAAGAAATTGCCATTTAACTATAAGGAAAAAACAGAGGATGGTCAGATACTGGAGCAGATTTCCCAGATAAACTGAGAGAACTGCATCCTTGGAGCTGTTAAAGACTCAACTGGACCTGGTCCTGAGCAGCTTAATCTGATTAGACCCGCTTTAAGAAACGAGTTGGACTAAATGACCTCTAGAGGTCCTTTCCCATCTACACTATTCTGTGGGTTTGTGATCCTGTAGTTAGTATTGCTCCCAAAAAGCAGGAGGAAAGTCTTCTCAGCTATTATACTTCATAATTATATTGGCCACTTCAAGCAACTAGTCATGAAAATTTTGACTAAACTTATATATAATGTTTCTTTTCTTCCTGTTTCTTGTTACGCACATAAGAATATTGAGTTCTTGGAGATGCTTGACAAGGTGCAGATACTGTATATACAAATGTGTTTCCAGTAGACATTTTAGAAATTCTAAAGGCAACTAGTTCCTTTAAAAAGCCCTCATTAATGAAAAGAATTTCCTATTTACCATTAGGGGCTAGTTGGACATAATTGAGGAAAAAAGATTATGAAAATGTACAACTTTTTTTTAAGTTTCAATTTGGAGAGTAGGATGAGGATATTGCATTGACAGGTGTAAAGCTGGGAGCAGAAAATAAGGCAGAAAAGAATTAGCAGAGACTTGTAAAATGTTTGGAGCGGAGATGG